AAAAGAAACCATACTCCTTAATAGTGTTTTTTTAGTTTTTTTAAGTGTTCTGGGTGTCGTCAGAGGTTACATGCCCGAAAAATCTTTTGACTTCTGATAGTTAACAGTGTAGTGGAGGTGTAAGAATAGAATAGAATAGAATAGAATTATTTTTTATTCTTAATAATTTAATATTCATTATTACATAATACTTATTGAAAGTCATTTTTATTTACCACTGGTTCGAAAATTACCTCTGTCCTGGGAAGAACCAGCAAGAAACCCAGCGGGACTTTTTTTTAAACATATTTCACGTAACAACAATTTTGTTTATACAATTTTTAAATCTTTTTTCATAGAACCAGCATGGTGGCAATCACCTTATTCCCAGGGGTTATTTTCATTCATGTATTCCTTGATATTATAATAACCCTTTTTGTACAGTTTTTTTTTTAATAAAACTTTTAAACTTATTTATTGACAAACTTTGAACGTATTCTGGGATTTTGTTCTAAAAGCATATACATTGCCCCATAAATGAATTACAGATTCTGTGGAATCTAGTAACTGGCATTACAAGCTTAAGTTTGTTCCTAGTGTTTAAGGTATGAACATCATTATTCTTATTAAAGCGATTTATGTTTTCATGTACATACATTATATTTTCATAAATATATTGCGATACCAAAATTAATGTTTATTTCTTTAATTTTTTTATAGGATAAGGGTGACAAACGAGCACACAGTCCACCTGATGGTAAGTGGTTGCTGTAGCCCATAGACATCTACATCTAACCTCTATCAAAATGCAGATGCGTTTTCACCCGTGAGGACTAGGATGGAATGCCTCATTTCCAGTAAAAAGGGCCTCCGGCCACCTGCACTCACCAAGCGAAACGCAGAGGTAAACCTCTACTTCACGCTGGTATTCTGTGAGGTCGTGGTACCACCCCGGTTCGAGTCGGCCCATCCGTGCGACAGCAAAAGCTGCCGCGTGGCTCTACCATTGTTAACACTGTTTTCTCTGAGGGACTCTTTACAATTTAGGTTATAAATCGCTCGTGTGGCTCCCTTTTTCAAGACAAATATAGCTTCAATATCAGTAGCATTACCCCATAGCAAAATTTCATAAGACATTACGCTATGAAAGTAACTAAAATACACTAATCTAACTGTCTCAACATCTGTGAGACTTCTTACCTTTCTTACAGCATATGCTGCAGAACTAAGTCTGCTTGCTAATTTAGATATATGGGGGCCACATTGAAGTTTCGCGTCAATAGTAATATCAAGAAATACAGTGGTATCCACAAGACTCAACTCCCCCCCATTTAAGAGCACATAAAATCCACTACCCCATATCGTCCCAAATGTGTCGTAAGAAGCGACAGAGGGATTATGAAACAGTAGACGGGCAGCGTCTTCCTGATAATAACTCAAAGTAATAAAAAACTGCGGTTGCCAAAATATAAAAATTCAATTTATGAGGTGGTAGGACTCTTTCTACCTAGAAGTAGGAGGATAGGGATATTTAAGAGCATTCAATGATAACATTATCGCATTTTTCGATTACTTTATCTATTTTCTTAAAACCACGACATAAAAAGAGGAATGTAGGCATCTTTGGTGGTAGCACTTTCATCCGGCCGTAGGTGGACCTGCCTAAGCGGAGTCACAAGTGTGTGCACTGTGAGAGCTAGAATAGGACTAGTGAAATTCTGTAATGATGATAATGATCATGATGATGACTTCAATAATAATAATAAGAAAAACTAAAACTAGAAACTTAATTATCATGTAGTCCTACACCCCAAGTGCCAAAAACGCTGGCTACGTTTACCCGCTGAATGGCTATATACTTAGCCTTTGAGCGAGAAAAGAATTTGACTTAAATTCACTTTTTTACTTCTACCACTGGTTCAGAAACCTCTATCTCGAGAAGAACTTTCGTTTCTTTTTTTTAAAGTAACCTATGACAACTTAATAAGCTATACAATTTGCTTATAGAAGAGTGGGCAACAAACTTGCGGCTCACCTGATGGTAAGTTTCGACTGCCACCCGTGAACTTCTGCAACATTAAGAGAATCGCAGGTGCATTACCGGCCTTTTAATAAAAGAGAAGGCTTTATTCTTAAAGGTCCCGAAGTGGTATCGGTTCGGAAAAATCGCTGGTGGTAGTCGATTCCACAAGGAAGTTGTGAGAAGAAGAAAAAAAATCTTCTTGTAAGTCGCACAGTGGTTAAGACTTTTTTTGCGATGTGCGATGGTGAGTTGAGTGGTTGCAATAAGTCCGAACAATTCCTCATAACACTCTCCGTGGTAGATACGAAAAAATAGGCAAATAGGTATATCTCTACGCAGTGCCAACGAGTCAAGGCGATCAGAAAGAGCTCGGTCACCTACAATTGAGCCATTCTGCGCTGGATACGATCAAATGCAAGAAGCTGGCACTGTGGAGCCCCAGCCCAGAGATGGGAACAGTATTCTATGTGAGGCCGAACCTGCGCCTACTAAAGTTGCAGTTCAATTTAATTATTTTTTAAATTGAACTGCAACTTTAGTAATAAAATATTTATTAAATATCATTTTAGAAACTACTTGACTGCAAACTCTTTATTCCCAGGTGTTATTATAAACCATATGTTCATAAATATTATTTTACCTAAGTTTTAGCCATTATTATACCATTTTTCTTTAATAAAAATTAAAACTGGGTATATACAGACCTTCTTTTGGGACTTTGTTGTAGAAACGTATTCATTGCCCCATAGATAAATATGTGTGTGCAGATTTTCATCTTTCACTTTATTTTTATACGTAGTGTTGCAAAACGAAGCTTATTATAGCTTTTGCTCTTTCAAAGGAGTAGAAATAAAGTTTAATTACTTTTGGTGGGATAACTGCATATTTACTGCAGTTTTTATTTTTATTTTTCGATGACTTAAACAATTTTTTTATTATATCTAAAAGAATACATACCTGTCAGCGATTTTCTATTAGATATGGAGTGGCGACCTTGACAGTTTCTGTGGCATTAAGGAAAGCATAATATGTTGAACATTAGACTAATAAATTAACTACTACTTACCATAAGCAAAAACATTTACTTAACTTTTGAAATTTTGGATTTACTTTGCGAATTTTTTTTGCATTGTTGCATTTCGAAGTAATTGGACTCTCAGATTTTAAATGACACTAATTTATACGGATTCTATCGCGTTTAATTTTACTTTTTATTCCCGACGTCTCGGATGCTTTACAGCACCCAAGATCACGGGACTGAGGTGTGCTAGACGTCCCGATGCCATAGTTAGCCCGGCTCTCAGATTTTCATGTAAAAACTGAATATTATCAACAGTACACTCGGCGACAACAACAAAGGCGTTCGATTTAGATTATTTGAGGAATAGTTGTAAGGTAGAACGAACCTTACTAACCTATATACAGAGACGCTTTTACAATATTTTGTGATTTCATGATTTGAGAGGCATTTATTATATATTTTCTTATAATTTTTTTTTTGTACTTGCAATAATGGCCACATGAAATATGAGTAATATTATTTGTAAAGTTTTTCTTACTAGCAATATTAAATCGTTACTTTATTTCCAGCTAGTGTGTATCTTTAAGTCCTATACTATATAATCCTTTTTGTTTTTAGTTTTAAAGGATGCCAATGATTTTAATTTCACCCCTTGTAATATGTATATGAAAAAAAAAACCAGTTTATGTCAATTATAACCTTATTTATTCATTTTATTAAAATGTGACATTTAATAACATATCGTGTTTTATAAATTAAATTTATTATGATATTATTATATAAGCTTAGTAAACTAGGTTTTAGTATTTTATTTCGAATTATTACTAAAAAATATTCACAGCCGTTTTTTTTTTACAATAAAATCTATCGTAAATAAGAAATACATTTTAATGTAAATATAATTTTTAAATAAGATGCTTATGACTTACTAATATTTTACTGTTCTTTTAGAATCGTCGGTGCCTTTTTATTTTTCACAAAGTATCTTCCTATATTATTTAAACAAATAGATATTATTTAAAACACTAAAAACTTTTTTGTATTTTAAATAATATTTATTTTTAACATAAAGCATTACCGATAGACATACTGATAACGTCAACAAAAATCTATTCTAAATTGTATTTTATTAGAAAATGTGCAAATATAATTTGCATTTAACATAGAATAAATAATTTACACAAAATATTTTACAGAATTTAAGAATAAAGCTACAACAAATATCGTACATTAGTTCATTTTTACATTATTATTTAAACAAACAACAAACTACATGCGAGTCCACGTGATAGTAAAAGGGTTTTGTTGATTCTACATCTGGCACCAGTTTCAAACGAAGTAAGCGACAGATAAGTTGTCACCCTTAATAAATATGATGAAAAGGCTAGTAAATGATTAAACTGGCATTCTAACACTTTAACACCTGCATCTCTTATGAATGAGATGTTTCGTGGGTGGAGAGATATATGAAGTTTGCTAACACACACTGGAGCTACACGGTGCTCTCAGAAATGAGAAAAAACCTGTGTGCAACAGAAGGACGTACATATTATGCTAGCCTAACATTACTTAACCTAGCTTAACAATATTGGATGCACTGGTGGGTCGTGAGTTAATTTACCAACCCAGACGTACTCTTGGGTAGAAAAGGAACTCTACTAACTAGTAATTTAGTTAGCGTGTTTTAAAAAAAATCATTTCATCAGACCGTCATGTATATATTGTGTAATATCTTAATATTTATCGCTTTTTTTTGTAATAATAAAACAAATACAAAGAATTAACTAAAGGTATATACATAATATAACATTTCTTAATCAACAATAGTGATAAGAAAAATAAAAATAAAACATTAATAAAACAATAAATAGATAATATTGGCGCCCTGGCCCAATTTCTTTAATATACCGAAATTATTCATGTAAAAAATAATATAGCTCAACATCAAATCCTAAAAACCTAAACTTAAATCCAAATTTAACTGATAATCCCAATAGTCTCGACGTCTTTGGGATAATAGAAATTGTTCTTTCTCATCGGAATAGACGATATCTGCTGATCTACTGGCACCCTTGTATCGTACAGAGACGGAGACTGGAAGATAATACCGAAGGTCCCCACGAAGCACGCGATGGTGAACAACCATAGGAAGAAGCGGTCGAGTACCATGGACATAAACTTCCAATCTTCAACTACCTGCAAAAATATTATAATATTTGCTTTTAACAAAATATGTGTCAAATATACCATTCCCCTATATGAAGAAACTACAGTCCTCTCTGTCTTGCTCCTTCTTCTCTCTCTTTCTCTATCTAAAAAATTGTCCCACAAAACTATATGGCACACTCCTCACTTGTATTTTCTTTAATTTATTTATAGAGCCTAAAAATACGGGGTGAAATGAAATATGACATCATAAAAAGATTCATCCCTTAAGTTTCACTAGCGTTTGATCTAGGGATAGGCACAGAAAAATATATTTTATGCGATAGATCCATCTTGACCTATCTTGTATTTTAAGCAGATATAAAATCCCCCGGTCTCATTTTGGTTTGGAACTTCTAGGTCCCTGTTCATGTGGGACTTATAAAAAAGTGATGTTTCAACTGTTCTTCGGTCTAGCACGTCTTAAAAGGCGACTAATGGAATATTTTGCTTGTGAATGTATAGGCAGTGGACTAAACAGACACCTATCACTTTTTTCACAATTTCCATCTAAACCCATATTTTTTTTCTAAACGTGGTCCGAGTAACTCACTGCTCGACACCTATCACTTTTTACACAATTTCCATCTGAAAAAATGAAAATGAAAAATGTTTTATTAGCAGTAAGAAAAATAATACAATGGGTAACATCTGTTGGTGTCCTCACTAGGCAAGCCTGTATCGAGGAAACCTGAGACCATAGTTCATTAAGCGCTATTTTATACACCTCTATCTATCTAAACCCATTTTTTTTTCAAAACGGGGTCGCAGTGAGCTACTGCTCTTTAGACTCTGCCTACCTCATCGGTGATCACATGCATAACGCTTTGTATATGTTTATAAAATCACCTATCAGCGATAAGAAGCAGCGTCAAAGGTGACGCGCAGTGCCTCTCCGCTGCGCGTGCGAGATGTGCGATTTCAGTTTCCTGAGTGTCAGTAACGGATGCATTAGTAAATATATTTTATATTCACCTCATAACGCGAAGCGTATGTATGTTCTACTCTCGACATGTCAAGGTCAAGCAATTTTGTGTTCTTAAAATGCTTCTGTCATGACCATATTGCACTTATACGATAATATGAGTAGCCGTATATCAAGAAAACACTCTAATTAAGCCATCTCATATTTTCTAAATCATTTTATATTGAAAACAAATGGTTTGGATAAAAAAATTACATGGAAGTCCGGATGTTGTATGTCACGATAACTTCCGAAAAAATTGACGGGTCGAGACCGGGTTTTTTTTTATTCGCTTCAGAATGACATCAACTAGTTTCTTGTTTTATATCAATATTACGCGTAGTTTGTTAATAAAATGACTTTAAACTTTTATAATTTTTGCTGCTGTTAAAAATATAAAGGCGCTGTCATACTTTTTTATCGTTTGATAGACAAAGGCCAAATGTAGTAATGGGTCAACTCGAGTTACTAACTCGAGTTGACGATAATATATATTACATCTCGAGATATAAATTAATATCGCTCACCATACTTTTAAATGGAACCGTTTACACTGAGCTATAATATATATTACATCTCAAACTATAAATATTTTTTCGATCAACCGAGCGATATTTTCATATTATATTTAGCCCCCTGTACCCCGCACACCGTTCTGCGGCGGCGCGGGTACAGGGGGTAATTTAATGACGAACGCACACTGGTTAAAAGATCTCACAGTGTGAAAGCCAAGCGCGGGATATAATTTACATTTCAGGATATAATATATATTATATCCGTAATATATAGTATATCCGTTATTGCCGTGTAGTGGCGGTCAAGAATATCCACTACCCCATATCTTCCCGTGGGTGTCGTAAAAGGCGACAAAGGGGAACAGGCAGGAGAGGCAACATGAGGACTATAATTACCAAAATTCTTAGATTATTGATAAATATCAATAATCTAAGAAGTTTGGTAATTATAGTTATCCCAACCCAACAAAGAGCTAGATAGAAAAACAAATTTCTAAAAAAGTAATTTGTAACAAATCATTTAGTCTGTTTCGTACTGTTAACTCGAGTTGAGTAACTCGAGTCGCGTGAATTTCAACTCGAGTTAACTCGAGTTGTAATTTTTCCAAATTGGCCTATATCGATTTTAAACTATGTGTAATTGATTTATTTTGGTAAACATTTTTTCCTTCTAGGTCACACTATCTTTTAAAATAATAGAGCGCTAAATTTAATACACGCAAATAATATATTTAAAAAGTCAGGAATAAAATTTTTTTTTAATTAAATGAAGCGCTCATGAACCTTTTCATTAACACTTTTTTATTTTCCAAACTATTTCTATATATGCTATTTTAGTACGCATATCACACATATTTCTAATGTCTTTGTACTATAATATGTACGAGGACCTTTTAATTCTGGTCCCGTATTAAAATGTTCCCGTCATTCCCTAGTCATTACTTTCCCACCTTCACTATACGATAACAACACAGCATTGCATTAATATGAGAGAAAGCCGGTGAATGAGCAGGCAAATAAAAAATTATACCTTTGTCCTTAATTACAACTTAATGATAACCATAAGAAAAATATTCTGTCGCTTTTATGTTATTTATCTCTTATATTTAATTATCTAACTAGAATAAGATATATATTTTAAATATCAATTATATTTCATATGAAACTCTGTTGTTCAAACATATGTTTAGGTCTGAAAGACATAGAGAGTTAGTAAGATTAGACTAAGAGGTATTCTATCTTAGTCCTCAGAGGTGACAACGCATCTAAAGCTTTCTGTTTGTAATTCTTTGTTAGTTTCAACGGCAGTAGCCACTTACCATCAGGTGGATTATAAGTTCGTTTGTCACTTCAGTTAAAAAAAAAAGATAGGTCCAAGGTTTTGCTCCCCCCCCCCCATATAGTGGCGGGTAAGAATACCCACTACACCATATCTTCCCGTAGGTGTCTCGAGTTAACTAGAGGCGACAGAGGGAAACTGAGGCAGAAGATGGGCAGCTGCATTTTTCTGATAACAGAAAAAAACAATAAAAAAACTGCAGTTACCAACCCCGCTCGCCAAGCGTGGTAACTATGGCAATATATCCCCCATGATTAAAGTTACGAAGAGATGGCCCCCAGTCCCCGGTGGCCCCGCTATTCTTGGCTACGGTGGCGACCATGTTAACGACGGAGCAGGGGATGCTAAGAATCTCCGGTGGAAGTTCGGTTGTCACCTAAGATGACTTGACCTGGCAGCATATAAGGCACGCACCCTGAGGACTGACGAGAAAATCCTGGAGCAGGAAGAAGAGATAGACAAGTTGCGCTGGAATAGTACAGGATTATCTGAGGTCCGAAGAGAGACGGAGGACATGGTAATCCTCGAATCCGGCAACTTGTTCTATCACAGGGAGAGTGTTGGATTTATTATTATACTCAGAATCACCAAATAGTATTCGCTAAAGGTCATACAGGTTAACGCACCAAACTCGGCACATCCCGATGAGAAGGTGGAGGAAATGTATGAGGATATATCTAGAGCCATGCATTCCTCCAAAACCCACTAAACGGTAAATGGGAGACTGCAACGCAAAACTAGGCACAAGAGAGAACGGTGAGCTGAAGGTTGGGAAATTTGGAATAGAGCAACGGAACCCAAGAGGCCAGCAGCTGGCCGACTTCATGGAAAAAGAGGGGCTCTTTATGATGAAATCTTTCTTCCAGAAGCGGCCCCACAGAAAACGGACCTAGCCGAGCCCCGACGGTTCGATAAAATATCCTGTCACTAAGACATCACTGACCAGACGACAACTGTTCAGTGATGTCTTAGTGATTGTGAGAGTGAAAACCGGCAGCGATCACCGAATGGTGAGAGGTACACTGAACCTAAACGTTAAGTTGGAGAGGTCACGTCTCATGAAGTCAACGCTCCGACACCCTCGTGCTCTTATCCAAGGTTCCAAAACTTTCAGCTCGTTACAAAACCGTTTTCAGTGCCTAGAAGATTGCAATGCAGTAGACGATATGAATGACAAGCTCGTGGAAACTGTCCATGCGGTCGGAACTAAGTTTTTCAAAACTCGCCGCAGAAGAACACAAAAACTCTCCGATCACACTCTTAATATCATAGCTGTTAGACGGGAAATGAAGATGCAGTCTGCAGTAGATTTGACAGCAAATACATGCAGCGGGACTTACGTAACTTTAATAATACTGATCGTATTGAATAACGACCGAGGGACAGCAGATCGAGGAACCAGGTCACCAAAGTCTTTTTTTTCTGTCTGCTAGAAAGAGCCAACTGTCGAAGCTGAAAACCGAGTGTGGCAGCGTCATTTCCGAGACACCTGAGATTTTTAGTGAGATTGAGAGTTTCTATGGGCAGCTGTACACATCAGCGTTGAAGCTACACGCAAGTGTGAGTTCATGAGCATGTCTTATCCGACACTATTCCGAAGATATCCCGGACGTCAGTCTGAACGAGATTAGAATGGCTCTCCAGCACCTTAAAAACGGCAAGTCCTCAGGCGAGGATGGAATAACAGCGGAGCTTCTGAAAGCGGGTGGAAAACCGGTACTCGGAGTCCTTCAGAAACTCTTTAATTCCGTCCTCCATGGTGACACTAAACCGGAGGCATGGCGCAGAAATGCAGTGGTCTTGTTCTTCAAGAAAGGCGACAACGCTCTCTTGAAGAACTACAGACCGATTTTCTTTCTGAGCTGCGTCCTCGTGCTGTTTTCGAGAGTCATTACGAATCGTCTCGCATGCAGACTCGACGACTTCCAGCCTCCCGAACAAGCCGGTTTCCGAAAAGGTTTTAGCACCATACTCTGGCGACGACCTGGTAAGGTAAGCAGGAAGTCGATGGATGCAAGTGGCTCAGGACCGTGCTTTGCGACATTCCTTAGGGGAGGCCTATGTTCAGCAGTGGACTTGTGAAAGGCTGTAATGATGATATATGTATAAACCAAACCTTATGTGAATATGGGACAAATTTTCAAGAACAGTGTACCAGCTGGCGTATTGCTTGCGGTAGAATTAAAGAGGTTGTTGAATATGCTAGGTAAGCGAAGTAGAACCACAACTAGATGTTACCCAATATAATATATTTTTGCAATATATAATACTGAAATACATACATTTCAATAATTTAACAAAAATAGGATGTTTAACCTACCTCATTGTCTTTATCAGCATCTTTTATATGTTGAGCTATGAATCGGACGCTCTGTAACGCAGCTGCCACTTCCGGGGAAAGGTGACGAGGCAGCATGTTCTCCGATTCCGTCACTAATAATTACAAGACGTAAATTAAATTTATAATTAATATAAAATATGTTTCAATTATAATTAGAGTAGCCTAGTAGATTTGACAGCCACGAAAAATATATAAAATAATAAATTAATTTTGTAGTAACTGTGAATATAGAAATATTGAAAAAAAGTATTTTCAAATATTAAGCAACAACTTTATTCCAAACATTACTTTTTCATAATAAACGTTTTCATAATTGTTTGTAAAGTTTTTTGTATACACTATAAAATATTTTGATGGTGTATACAAATTTTATTACATTATAATAACTCCATCCCACTTTAGGGCACAACACGTCCATGCCTAGTTTTGCCTCACTAATATAAATTTTTAAATGCCTTTCAGCACGCTACTTGTGTACTATAAATTCAAAAATATTGACACCACATTAAACAAATGCTGTTTTAATAACCTTCATAATGATCCTCATAAATATATGAATTAAATACTAACCAGAAGGTCGTTGGTGAGCACCGGCTCCAAGCATATCATCTTCCGGAGCAGGTGACTTACGATAGTCACCGTTGTCACACTTACTATCACCAAACGCATCAGTGAGGCTATCTCTACTGAAATTAAATGAAATGAGTTATCTTTATTGTTTCATAGTATTCATAGAATGCATTCCGGAAAAAAGAATATATATAGAGTTATTTTTCAAAGTGTAGCCAAATTTTAATATATAACTTCAAACATATAAATATTGATATACGTACCATTATTGCAGTTTTTGAGAATACGACTTAATAAGGCTTCTACTTTTATTTGAAACTATCCCAAATTGAATGTAATTTTTAATTACGCTCCCGTTGGCCTCTCTCGTTGTAGGGAAGGTTTGCCTAATTCATCCGCTTGGCAGGCGGTAGGAGAGGACAAGACAGGATCACAGTACCAGACATTGCGTACCTTTGAGTCTGCTACCCGTCACCGGTAGTATATCCAGCGTTTTACGTTATAAATTTTATCTCTCATTTCCCTTAGTCGAAACTTAAGCCGCGTATCGATTATACGCTCCAAGAGGTCGAGCATTGCCGACCCTTCCAGCCGTGTGAAATGGACACTTCCTTAGGACGCACGCCAAATTGTTCGTTGGAACGCTCAAACTTGGAGCGGGCCGTTACATCAAAACGTTACCACAACACTAGGATTTTCTCCTGTATCGTGGAGGCAGCTTACAAACATAATTTGCACAAGGACAAACATCCAGACCTGGAACAATTCCAATACTTGTTCCGTGCGAGATTCGAACCCTCGGCCCCAAGCGCTGCTAAGCTACTGCGCCACGGATCGCTCTTACGGATGCTTCAGTAAGCCTTAAATTACTCTTTAGGAATTTGTAAGCAAAAATGCAACAAGCATTTCGTCATAGTAAATATTTTTTAAAAGTGCAATTCGAATAACAATCTCAGTTCATGAAAACAAAAATGAAATAAATAAAAGGTAATCTTTCTGAAAAATAAAACGTTGATACAAAATGTTGAAATGAGTTTTTCGCGTGCATATTCAGTCAGCGATCCGCATCAGTACATTGTTGCGTCAAATAAACGATTGTTACCTACGGGTATTATGCATTTGAAAACGATCAACCGAATTCAAAAATCAATTTTTGATTGAATTTTTAGCTTAGTTTTTATAATACTGAGCTCCATCTCGCTATATTTTAAGGAACATTTTTGCTTTGCAAATTTACAAAAATAATACGTCTATCATAATCATCTAGTATAAGTGTGTCATGTCATGTCTATAATGATTTATGGAATAAATATTTAATAAGAAATTAAAAAATTTCAAAAACTTAATTTTAGATATTATACTTTGTATATAAGTCAATCAAGGCTTATAGTGTAATATTTTTATAAAGATTTAATTCTCCAAAATTTCTCATAACATATTTTGTTACTTTTAGACATTGACATTTGTTTATAATTTTCAATAATGACAATCATACATCGCCGTAAGCAGGAAGGAACGTGTTTTTAGAATAGAATAGAATAATAATTACTCAATATAGATCACATGTGTAATTCTTATTGAAAGTATTTTTTACTTTACCACTGGCTCGAAAAAAAACCTCTGTCCTGGGAAGAGCTAGCAAGAAACCCAGCGGGATTTTTTTAAAGCATATTTTACATTAATGGTTGTACAAATTATATAAGTACAAAATTTATTTTAGAAACAGCTTGGAAGCGACCACCTCATTCCCAGGGGTTATTATCAACCATGTATTCATTTATACTATAATAACCTTTTTTATACAGTTTCAACTTAACAAAATATTTAAACTTGCTAATAGAGAGAGCCTGTACACTTTCCGGGACCTTGTTGTAATAGCGTATACATTGCCCCAAGAATGAATTACTGGCTCTGTGGAGTCGAGAAACTGGTATAACTAGCTTGTGTTTGTTCCTAGTGTTTACAGAATGTATATCACTTGTTTTACTAAAACTATCTTTGTTTTTGAGAACATACATTAAATTTTCGTAAATTTACTGAGAGGCCAAAGTTAATTCATTTATTTCCTTAAATTTATCTCTAAGAGCTTCTCTCGTTTTTAGGTTGTAAATAGCTCTAATGGCCCTCTTCTGTAAAACAAAAATAGTTTCTGAATCAGCCGCATTTCCCCATAGCAAAATCCCATAGGACATTATGCTACCGAAATAACTGAAATAAACTAATCTAGCTGTCTCGACACTAGTGAGACCTCTAATATTTTTTACAGCATAGGCTGCAGAACTTAGTCTGCTTGCTAGTTTGGACATATGGGGGCCCCACTGAAGCTTTGCGTCTAGAGTGATGCCAAGAAAAACAGTGGATTCAACAGGGCTCAGTTCTTCCCCATTTAAAAACACATTGGTACTCAGATTTTTAACATTCGTTGTTGTAAATTTAATACATTTAGTTTTATTTCCGTTTAAACGTAAATTATTAACGTTAAACCAATGCACTAATTTTGATATAGCATTATTCACTTCGTCACATTTAAATGATTGACGTTTAAGTTTAAAAATCAAGGAAGTATCATCAGCAAATAATACTATATCATGATTATCCCCTACAAGAGAAGGTAAGTCATTAATATACACTAGAAATAGGAATGGGCCGAGAATGGAGCCCTGAGGGACACCCATTAGTACAGGTGACTCGGAAGAACTTTTACCATTGATAATAACTTTCTGCATTCTATTACTTAAATATAAAATAATAAGTTTAAGCGCTGTGTTCTTGACACCATATTACTGTAGCTTCCTGATTAATGTCTCATTTTTTTAGTCATTTTAGTTTAGTGGCAGCACGGCGGTTTGAGCTGCGTAACGTGCCTACACCGGATAATGTTTACGCGGATGGACCACCTGTGCTACAATACACTTTAGAAACAGATTCTTATTTACATGTTGTGTAGTGTACATTCCGCCCCAGACTAATTTTGAAGAATACGAGTATAATATGATTATGTTTAGCATCAAAGAGGATATATGTGTAAAGTACAAAAATAATGTTTTGGTTTTAGGAGATTTTAATCTATATTCAGCCAATCAAGATGTTTGTAATTATTTTGAGTATTTTATGTCCTTATGTGAATTCATCCAGGGCAGTACTGTGGAGAATTTCATGGGTAAGCAGTTAGACTTAGTATTATAACGCAATAGTATAACAGTTGTGATATCAGTGCGTGAGACTGAGGGCTTACAACCGGTAGATGATTGTCATCCACCATTGTTGGTATGCCTGTCAGCGACTGATTTTGAAGAACACGCTACGACGTACAACAAATGCTTAGGTGACCAGAAACAATAGAAGGCAGACTTCAGTTTGTTATACAGTAGTATCTCTGTGATAGATTGGAGTGAACTATACACATTTTTTTTTATTTTGAGGTGGCTCTAGACTATTTCTATCGTACTATAAACTATATATTAGATAACTGTGTTTCTGTTAAAAAGCATAGGTTAGCAAGCAGTAGGTATAAGTTACAAACAATGGTATTCGATGGAGGTCATCCGCAAAATACAACTTAAATACAAGTTACATAAAAAATATAAGACCAGTGGGTCGAACGATGACTATCATGCTTTATCGCAATGTCGAGCGTGAGTAAAAAAGCAATTAATGAAACTCACAGTATTTACCAGGAGCGAGTGCAGAACAGTCTTGTGAAAGATCCAAAGGGGTTCTGGACTTTCGTGAAAAATAAACGAGGTGGTAAAAAATAAAATTAAAAATAAATTAATTAAGGAAGGCAGTTTCTTATCAGAGAGCGAATGTGCAAATGAATTAGCGGCATATTTTCACTCGGTGTATAACTCGGAACCTGCCGTGTTGGACGTGGCGGCAGCGGCAAGTGCGGCTTGCGCTCTGGATGGTGGCTACGCGTATCGTGTGCACCTCAACGACCTGAGCCTTGCCGACTTGCGCCGCGCGCTGGCCAAGCTCAAGCCCAAACGCTCCACAGCTGCAGACGGTATACATCTGTTTATTGTTAGAGATGTTCGTGAGGCATTCCAGGCCCCGTTTTTCCATATATTTAATATCTGTCTCAAGAGTGAAATTTTCCCTAATAGATGGAAGTTAACTAGGGTGGTGCTGGTACCCAAAGGTAGAGGTGGTACAAAAGTCTCGGACTATAGACCAGTGGCAGTTCTGTGTACGCTGACAAAGGTTTTTGAGTCAGCATTACACCACTCACTATATACGCAGGTAAGCGTTTAACTTTCGGCACAGGTGGACGTCGCATACCTTGACTTCTATAAGGCGTTTGACACGGTCGACAATGATATCTTACTCATTAAACTGGCGCAGACAGACTGTACGCCAAAAACATTGTCATTTTTTGCCAGTTATATGAGAAACAGGAGCCAATTTGTAGATTGGGCTGATCAACTGTCAAAACCATATCTTACCAGGTCAGTAGGAAGTCAATTCAGCAAATTGGGCCCCCTGAAATTTGTCCTAATGATTAACGACTTATCCGATGTTATATGGCAATCAACATGTCTTCTATTTGCGAATGACCTAAAACTGGTATCAATGGTTAGGGACTCAGCTGACTGTGACAAACTACAGGCGGATATTGACAGATTATTACAACGGAGTCATAGGAATAACTTATTTTTTAAAACTTCCAAATGCTCAGTCATGTCGTTCACACATTCACGCCAGCCTCACACATACAAATATAATATAGACGGAGTAGCCTTGCAGCGGGTAACAGAGGTAAAAGACCTTGGAATTCACTTTACTTCGAAACTCAATTTTAGGGAACATATGATTAATGTTTCATGGTGAACACAATCGAAGGCTTTGCATAGGTCACAGAATATACCCAAAGCATCCTGTGAATTCTCCCATGCTTTTAAAATATAATTAATCAGCTCAACACCAGCATCAGTCACCGAGTGATCCCTTGTCTAATGTACTACCAGATTTGAATGAAGATATTACTTTACTATAACAACATACCATATTCGATACTAGTATTAAAAATAATAGCTGGATGAGGGATTATATCTATTATAGACGCAATAACTTCAACGGAAATTCCCCACAGATCTACAGTTTTCTTAATATCAAT